AAGATGAAAGTCGACATTGGGTTGTCTGGTGTGAATTCAACGAACCCTTCCTCGGTAACCTCCTTCTCCTTGTTATAGTAATGAGGTAGTAACCATCATAGAGAACCGTTCGGAGAGTAACTTCCAAAAAGAACCGCTCCCCTTCTTCCGCGGACGTGGCTGACATGTGCTTGAACGTGGAAAATTGGTTGTTGCTCGTTAACCGCCCATGTGCCTCTTTCTTTTGGAACTAGAGACTTGGTGCTTGGCCTCATCTCCACCATGACTAGGAATTTTAGATATCACGACTAGGGAAATCGAGATCTTGCGACCAACAAGGTCTACCAAACTCAAAGAGACAATGCCTACTCGAGACCATCGTGGTCTGATCTCTTCCTCACGACTGACGTGGTCTAGATCTAGATCTTATGACGAAGGCCATCTAAATCTCCCGACCACCGAGGTCCAGCTCTCTTGCAATGAGGGATGTCTAGATCTCACAACCAACATGGCCTAGGACTTAACTCCCTCGTGACCAACGTGCTTTAGCTCTCAGGCTTAGTAGATACGTGGCTTCCCTCTCCCGAAGTAGCTTTCCTTCTCACGTCCAACTTGTTGGTTTAGATTTCGGATGTGGTCTAGATCTCATGACAAAGTCCATCTAGATCTTGCGACCAACATGGTCTAGCGGACTCGCGGCGAACGTGGTTTAGATCTCGCGACCAACGAGGTCTACCAAACTTCATGTGGAAATGCCCACTTGTGACCCTCGTGGTGTTATTTTGCAGCTAAGGCCTTCTAGATCTTGTGGCCAACATGGTATACCAGACTCGCAGTGAACGTGGTTTAGATCTTGCGGCACCCGCGGTTTACCAAATTCGCGACGAACGTGGTCTAGATCTCTCGACCAACATGGTCTACCAGACTCGCGACGAACGTGGTCTAGCAGAATTAGCTTCCTCGCGATGAAAGAGAGACTTGGTCGTTTGGGCTTAAAAATATAGTACCATAAGACCCAAGTTTAAACAACATTAATTGTTATAATTGATCTAGCCTTATAAAGACAATAAATATGTTGTAAATAATTAATGTGGTACTAGATTATTTTTAGGTGTCAACATATGATTTCTCCCATCCTAGTTATCAGCTATTGGAGAAGATCCGATACACCTATATCACATCCCATCTTCAATGAGCTGAATAAAAAGTCCCTTCAAGTGAACTGTATTCTAAAGCATTAAACTTCCTCCTAACAAACCAGCCATCCATGGGCGTCAATGAGTTTATTAACTAGGCCGAGGAGTGGGACCTAGAAATGATACCGGATGAAATCAAATTAAGTAGCCAATAGAGAAGCCCTCATTGGGAAAGTCCTTTCTGAGAGTCAAATCAATAAGCATTCCACGAGAGGTTGATTCGAGAGCAGCCTGGCCAGAGAGCTAATAGTCAAAAACCAATGAGACACCCAGAATTAAGGAGGCAGATAAAAATACCTCCGCGTTTGACTTTGACACCATACCTAATATTTATGTCCAAGATATTCTCTAATCTACCTCCTCTAATTCGTTATTTCTGTCCAAGAAATTCGCTAGTGTACTGTTCTGATCATTCTTGCCGTCCCCGACTCAAGAATGGAAACGAAAAGAGAAGAAGTGGCAACAGGCTCCCCGCGCAAGAATGCAAGGGAAAAAACGAAGAAGTGGTGAGAGCTAGTTTGTCAATCGTAGGTGTTGACGCCGTTGTGGAGAAAACGGTCAGGCGCCACCGTCGTTTGAGTTAATTGGGGAAAAGTGCTTTCAAAATATAGGGAAAGCCGGTGAGTTGAGATTGAGTCTTTGTGGGGCGGGAAATTAATTGAACTAGCCATTTATTTTGCTACGCGAGACGTCAGCACAAGGCTTGATGGGCCTGGGCCCAAATCACCGAAACTTGTCTAAAGAAGGGGGATGAGTCCACACGATTAATTTTTTTTCTTCTTCTTTTGGACTTTTATCATTCACTTTTTTCTGTTGATCGTCCAATCCCTATTTTAGTATTTTTATGATTTTATCTGGATGAACTACTTCCTCCTCCGTTGATATGATTTCTACCCTCCTAGTTACAAACTATTGGAGAAGATTTGATACAACTAAATTATATTTATATCCCATCTTCAATGAGTTGATCAAAAAGTTTCTTCAAGTGACTGTGTTCTAGAGAATCAAACTCCCTCCTAACAAATTAGCCAATCATGAGCGTCAATGAGTTGATTAAGTAGGCCGAGGATTGGGACATGGAAAAGATACCAGATGAAAGAAAAGTAGCCAACTTAGACGCCCTCATTGAGAAAGTCTTGTATGAGAGGCAAATCAAAGAGTGTTCCATGACAGGTTGAATCGAGCAGCCTGGCCAGAGAGCTAAAAGCCAAAAACCAATCGTGTTCTAATTTGACACCATACTGAATATTTATGTACAAGAGATTCTCTAATCTACCACGTTCGATTCTTTATTTCCGTCCAAGAAATTTGGTAGTCTACAATTTCCATCATTCTTGCCGTCCCCCATCGACCCCGGCTCAAGAATGGAAGAGAAAACAGAAGAAGTGGCAACCGAATCCAGCGCAAGAATGCAAGGAAAAGCGAAAAAGGGGTGAATGCTAGTTTGTCAGTGGTACCACCGCCGACCGTCAAAGGGTGGAGCATAGGTCCACCGTCACCGTCGTTTCAATTAATTGGCGGTGAGATGAGACTGAGTGTTTGTGGGCCGGGAAATTAATTCTATTAGTCATTTATTTAGTTGCGAGAGACTTTAGCTCAAGGCTTGATGGGCCTGAGCCCAAATCACTCTCCGGAAACTTGCCTAAAGGAAGGGATGAGTCCACACAATTAATATTTTTTTTATGTTGGACTTTAATCATTAAGGGGTCGTTTGGATGAGTTATTCGTATGAGTTATTTGCACCCGTTTGTCTACAAAAGTTGGTGATGAGTTATTTGTACTTGACTTAATTTGAAATAACTTATTAATGAGTTATTGTCAATACCTCATAGGGGTAGTTATTGTGAAATAACTCACAAATACCACATTCTCATTTTGTGAAGCATTCCACTTTTATATTAACTCGTTACACAACAACTCATCCAAACGGCCCCTAACTTTTTTTCTATTGATCATCAAGGCCCCAATTTTATGAATTTATCTAGATGAATTACTTCCTCCTTTGTTGAGATGATTGGTACCCTCCTAGTTACAAGCTATTGGAAAAGATTCGATACAACTATATCACATCTCATCTTCAATGATTTTATTAAAAGTCCCTTCAAGTGAAGTGTGTTCTGGAGCATCAAACTCCCTCCTAACAAATTAGCCAACAATGGGCATCACTGAGTTGATTAACTAGGCTAAGGGGTGGGACCTGGAAATGATCCTAGATGAAAGCAAAGTAGCCAACAGAGACGCCCTCATTGGGAAAGTCTTGTCTGGGAGGCAAATCAATGAGCGTTCCATGAGAGGTTGTTCTTTTCTCCAGACCATGACAATATAGCTGGTCCTGAGGACACCCACGTTTCTGGAATGGAGTCCAAGAGGGCCAAAATTTGCAACCTCTCCTCCTCTGCCCCGCGAATTAGGTCATGTCGCAAATGTATACGCCATCTAGACCTATCATCCACAAACAAACAATCATCAACATACTCAACCAGGGAATGGGCTGTAGCCGCAATCCTTGGAAACTTGCTCACCAAGTGTTTCCCTAGGACCCATACATCATCCCAAAAAGATACCCACCCCCAGGATCGATGAAGCCAAAATTCCAGAAAACAGAGCTATCTTTAACAATCCATCTCCATAATGACCACCCTCCCCCACCTAGGTTCCAAACCATTCTCCATTCAGAAGTGCCTCCTCCACACTTGTTAAAGATTAACCTACGCCACCATGTCCCTCTTTCATTCCCAAATCTCCAAACCCATTTGGCCAATAATGTTGCATTTGTGCATCTAAGGTCTCTAACACCCAATCCTCCTCTCTCCATCAAAGTCTTAACCATATCCCATCTAACCAGGTGAGCTTTCTTAATTTCCAAATTGACACCACAAAGAAATTGATTCTGAATTTTTTCAATACGATCAATGACTGACCTCGGAGCTCGCATGATTGACATAAAGTAAACTGGCAAAGCTGACAAGACACTCTTCAATAATGCAATACGCCCACCAAAGGATAGATATCTGGTTTTCCATGTATAGCGCCTCCGTTGAATACAAGAAATGACAGGATCCCATATTGATGTAGAATTGGTGGTCACCCCAAATGGTAGGCTAAGGTAAGTAGCAAGGAACTCCCCAACGGCGCAACCAAACATATCAGCAAACTGGCTTGGGCAATGAACCTCTCCAATGGGGAAAATAAAACTTTTATGAAGATTGACTTTCAGCCCGGTGATAGACTCAAAGAAAACAAGTGCTGCTAAAATAGCCCTTACCCGATCCTCTAATGCATCACAAAATATCAAAGGGTCATCTGCGTGAAAGATATATCTGACCATCTCTATAACTTGCCCCACATCCATAGAAAACCCTTCAGCATACCTTCCTATCTGAGACGGTACAAAATCTTGGAAAGAATCACCCTGTCGCAACCCTCTATTACTCGGAAAGTAACCAGAGGGCTCGCCATTGACAAGAATAGAGAAGTACACAGATGAAATGCAACATTTGATCCAGTGAATTCATTTACTAGGGAAACCCATTTGCTCCAGAACTTGAAGCAAACAACCCCAATTCACATGATCATACACTTTCTCAATATCCAACTTGAAAACCAAACCTGAATGACCCGATCTTTTTCTTGAATATACGATCTCATTAGCAATTAAAACTGCATCCAAGATTTGTCTTCCTTTAATGAATGCACATTGTTGTTCAGATATGAGACTAGGCATACAATCCTTCAACCTTTCCATAAGAACCATGGATATCATCTTATAAATTCTACCCACCAAGCTTATAGGCGAAGATCACGCACATCCACAACAACGTCCTTCTTGGGAATAAGGAAAATGAACGTGTTGTTAACCATTCTGGGTAATGTGCCATGCTGGAAAAAATCATCAAAAGCAACCACAACATCTTCTTTGACAACCTCCCAATATCTCTTAAAGAAAGCTATGATAAAACCATATGGTCATGGTGCTTTATCCCCATCACAAACATGAATAACCCCCCGAATTTCTTCCTCTGAAAAAGGATGCACCATAGCCTCCTTTTGCGAATCCATCACCTGATTGAAACAAATACCAAAGGGAAAGGGCTATAAAGATCTTTGAAGTATTCCACAATCGCATTGGCCAACTCTTGATGCCCTGAATAAGTGACACCCTTAAAGAAAGCCATAATGATCTTTTTTCTTAGAGGTTTGTGAATGATGATTATCTTGTGGTGTTTGTGTTTGATGTCTTGCTAGTTGGTACTCGCTAATTGGATGAATAAGTTGGATTATTTTTCAATTTAGGCATTCAAATGGTTGTTTAAATTATGAATTCACGATAAATTTTCTATTTGATATTATTTCTTATGGTTATTTATTTTATGTTCACAATGTAACATGTAGTTAAATTATTTCATTATTATTCGTCTTTAATTTTTGGTACCATTGGTCATCCTTATGTTCGTCGATTGTAAATGATGTTAAGCTTAATTGGATGATGATATGTGTATTACAAGTGGTTATTGGTTTTTATCCAAGTTTCCTATTATTATTATTATTATTATTAATTATTATTATTATTATTATTATGTATGAAAATTGTAAGAAGAACAACAAAGGTCTACAAAAAAATTAGTGGATAGTCGAGATACAATATGGGCCCCACCCCTTTAGCTATAGCTAAGCTAAGTCTAGTAAAAATATATGCGGCCGCATTCGTCTAAGCTCTATCAATAGGCAATCCATTCAATGGATGCGGAGCATGGGAAGAGGTCGAGCCCCCGCATCTTGAGACACGACAAATTTCTGGATCCGCTTGAGCAAAGCAACGATATTCGTATCCAACTCTCCTTGCGAAGAAAAAGAAAAGGGCAGGAAACCGTAACCAGCTGTCGTGCTTAAGTCCCGATATTTGGCACACTTTCGCTGAGCAGCATCAGCAACAACTCGGCCAGGCACAAAGCCAATCATCCCAGTCTGAGTCAGAGATGAAGACCCAGTATAATCGACACACACAACTCACCCCCTGTCCCAGAAATAAAGTAGCAAATCCGCAGGACGAAGGGATCTACCATGCCCGTCAACCAAACCTATATCAACCTATTTACTGATAGAAATCCCAAGTCTGTAACAGATGTCCAATAAGGTGTCACAAACGAGGTTGTGCCGATACTTAATGCTCACAGAACCAACACATGACACAACATGATCCCCAAAGACATCACTAGGAAAGGCACGAGAACAAGCAGGACATGGCTTAGATACCAAAAATAACGGGACACTCAGTTGATAACTAAGCACACAACGATATGTTCTCCCATTCATAGTCTGGCACAACACAGTAATGGGAACAGCGCGCATCCAATCAGAAGAATGTGCAGTCTGCTGAGATTTCCACAAAGCCACCTGATGCATAGTCAACGAGAAAACAAAATCTGAAGTTAGCAACCTTTGCGAAATATATGTCTACCAATTTCTTCATAAGTTTTTGGGCAACAACTCTACTAGGGTCACGTAAGAGATCAGATCCTATAAACTCATTAAAGGTCTGTAGGGTGTCATCAAAAGCAGGGCCAGGAGATAGAATACTAGAAGGACCTAAAAGTTTATCTTGCAACTTCGTAGACCGCAAACGAGATGCCAAAAAAGCATAATGCACGACATCTGCAGCATCATAAACCCTGAGCCCGCCCAAATAAAGGCAAGCCGCCACTACCAATCACCAAACTCGGGTCCAGAAGCAGTGACAATACGTTCTAAACTAGACCAAAGAGGTGTGTCAAAAGATAGTTGAGCGGACCCAAAAAACACAAGGGGAGCAAGTACGCAAAGCAAAGTATAGTTTAGAAATACCAGTACAAGCCCGAAGCAAAGGCAACTCACATTGTGGATCATCAATCCTCGCAACCAAGTCCATCAGCTCAATGGTCCTAATAACTCTCTTCGCCACAAGATCACTTCTAAAATCAGAACAAGAACTGACAGGGCCATCCATAACAGTGACACCGTGTGGAGGCCGAGCAATAGAGGTTGGGAAAACACCTGGAAGCCGACTCATAGGATCCTCAGTAGGGAAAAAAACCTTCGTCTTACCCACATTTAGGTGAAGGCCAACTCGTGGGCCTTCATCGATAATCATGTCCAAGACCTTCCCAACAACCAAAGTTTCCCCCACAATAGTGCCATCATCCAAATACCAAGCCTGCATACTTAGATCAAAAGAGTCTCTGATCTTGCACACTAAAGGATGCAACTCCAAAGCAAAGGGCCCAAAGGCTCTCCCGGTTGAACCCCCTGACAAGACCATAAGCTATGCGTCCCATAATACAGCCAGACAGGGATAGAGTAACAAAACTCCACCCATCGAGAAAGGACCGGGCAATGACGGCGAACTTCCTTAAGCATGGCTCCACGATCAACTAAATTGAAAGTATTCTGGAAATCAACCAGCAACATAGAAAGACCTACATCACCACCGCAAGCCTCAATGAACTGGTTCAAGGCATGCAAAATAGCCTCTCCTCCACCAGGATCCCCGACCCCATACTAAAGACCAGCAAAATAATCAGATAAACTAGGATCGACAAGACAAGCACCAACCTTAGAACAAGACGTCTCCACACAGTGCCAACAGCTATAGGACGGATACCACCCCCTGGTTTAACAAGAGGCGTCAGCAGAGTGATAGCAATGTACTCACCAAGGGGTTGCGGACATCCACCCTCAAGGAAAAGATTAACCACCCGAGTAATGGAGGCTAGCAAATCATCCAAGATAGCGACAACAGCACCATCCAAACAATCCATAAGATGTTGAGCTCGAAATCATCCCTCCTGCAAGACGTACCACGAGGGAAGCTCCTAATAATATCTAGAACAACGACTGAAGAGGCAACAAAAGGATGATGATCCTTATATAAAGTCGGTAAAGAGGGAGATAGGGCGACAAGATGCTTATCTTGTAGAGCCAAAAGAGTGGTATCATAATACGGGGCAACACTGGATGAAGAAATCACCCGAACAACAGCACTATAATTTCCATCACAAATCTTCCTCCGACACTATAAAGTCTCTGGCAAAAGCTGCAAACAGCGAATTGCCACTCAAGATTACTCCGCAGAGAAAATGTCTTAAGCACGCAAAGAGGCAACACAAGTAAGCAAATCCAACATGAGAGGTCACCAGGAGAAACACTCAGATAATCCAATGCCCCTTTCAGAGCGCGCGCAAACCCAAGACAACACTTAGGAGGGATAGATTTCACGTTGCCAAAGACCCCATAGAGAACAAACGGTCAAGCAAAGAGATAGACCAACCCACAGACTCAATCCTAGCAACAGATGAGAGAACCGACAAAGACAGAGCCGGAGGTCTAGGAATATCTTAAATAATAAAACGAAAAAGGCCATCACCACAATCAGGAGGTTCCATAAAATCATTCTCATCATGCCGACATTTAGAATGGAAGGCGTGAGTACGAAGGCATACCCCATAAATTCAAACCTCCATCCGCTTTAGAGTAGTTTCACCATTAGAAAACAACGTCAAACTATTAGAAAGAGTTTGGCGTGTAAGATCCATAGGAGCACTGCGACAATGCCAATCTTTAAAGTGTTGTAGCAAGGAGGATTTAGTAAGATCCTTACCTCGACCATCTTGACACCCATGAAGACTGACAAAAGGGCAGTGATAACGAAAAAGAGGGGGCATGACGACACAACAAACCCTTCTTGCTTCTTTCTACTAGCAATTTGGCAATTTCGATAAACCAAAAAGGCGATGGCGCTAGCTGGCTTCTGAATGCGGCGGGGATAAAAATGGTGCGGATAAAACTATTTATTTTTGCTTTTTATTGTATTTTGTGAAAGAAAATCGAAGCTATTTGTTTGATAGTTGGCTTGATTAGGTATAACTGTAGTTGTTGGAATGTATGTTAGTCGTTATTGGTTAACTGTCAAACTAATCATTAACCGAACCGATAAAAAACAGTTAACCAATAAGTAGCCCGACCTTGAGAGTACATAACTAGCTGCTTGCCAAATTGCTATAAAAAAGATGACCACAGTCGGAGTCGAACCCACGACCTTCTGATCCGAAGTCAGACGCGCTAATCCACTGCGCTATGCGGTCACTGATTTCAAACTTGCTAAAACCTAATAACCCAAATCATCTCCATTATGCAATGATCAAATGCATCGGTTCCAGTTGAAGTTCTCTGCGTCGTCCGTACGATGATTTGTTTGTTAACATTGAATTCATTTGTCCATGCGCGAACAACTTTTATGGGTGAAAGAAACTGTTTACCCATAAAAAAATCAGCTTGTACCACATCGATTAATTACAAGGGGATTAATGGATTATAAGGCCAGGCCAGCTCAACATTAATGATTAAAAGAGCCAGTTGGGCCTAGTTGGGTTAGATTTTTGGGCCTAAGTGGCCAAACCCCTTCTCCTCTATACGATGGCCGACCCGTCTCCGAGGCCCCCATAGCCGGACGATGCCTCCACCCCTTAGTATGAAATTTGGCCTACAAAAACTAAGTCTTGGAAACAAGGCGACACAACGGGGTGTCAAACGACCGGGTACCAAGCCTGGTACCAAATAAGGGGGCCAAACAAGAGGGTATCAAGCTCACAAGGCATGCCTGATACCCAAGTAAGAAATTTGGCTAATTATGGGAAACAAGGCGATACAACGGGGTGCCAAACGGCCGGGTACCAAATAGGAGTTCATCCAAAAGCTAAGTCTTGGAAACAAGGCGACACAACGGGGTGCCAAACGGCTGGGTACCAAGCCGAGTACCAAATAGGAGGCCATCCAAAAGCTAAGTCTTGGAAACTAGGCGACACAACGGGGTGCCAAACGACTGGGTACCAAGCCGGCAAGGAGCAACGGGGTGCCAAACGGCCGGGTACCAAGCTTGGTACCAAATAGGAGGCCATCCAAAAACTAAGTCTTGGAAACAAGGCGACACAACGGGGTGCCAAACGACCGGGTACCAAGCCGGCAAGGAGGGCCTGGTACCAAAGTATATGAGAATTGGCTAAGTATGGAGCCATAGGGGTATCAAGCCGACAGGCTTGGCAGCCAAGCAAGGCGGCAGGGTACCATGACCCCAAGGGGGTATCAAGCCGGTGAGACTGAGTTGGTGGCCAGGCAACAGGGGGTCAAGCCAGGTACCAACTAAGAGAGTCATACCGACAAGACGGACTTGATAGCAAAACATCACGGTATCAAGCTAAACAGCCATGGATGGATCGTCCAGGATGCAGAGTTCAGCCCTTATGGGGCTATATGGAAACAAATTCCCAAGACGGGCTTGGTAGCACCTTAACGGGATACCAAACCGGCAGGGTGCAACTTACCAACTTGACGAGGCTTCCAAAACTAAGTATGGAGACCAAGCCACCAGGACTGGCTTGGTAGCAAGGGGTGTCAAGTTGATTACATGGGCTTGGGGCATGCCAGAAGGTATCAAGCCGAGGAGACGGCTTGGTAACAACCAACAAGTTAATGAGAAGGACTTGGTGTCATGAGGTGGTAGCGGACTCAGGAGCGGGGAGTCATCAAGCAGTCGAGGGTGAAATCAAGACCTCATCATGGTTCATAGAGGCTAAGGCAAGAGCCTCAACCCCATCCAGTCATGACAAGGCGACAAGGATCAACAACAACCCGACCCGACATCGAGGCCATCAAGTACCCACCAGCCCAAGACGGGAAAAGGGCCCCCAAGGTGACGGTTACCAACTAGTCACCAAGGCGGCGACAAGGACCCCGAGGCGGTTTGGAGCAAGAGACCAGCTAGCAGTTACCAAGGCGGTTACCAAGACAGTTACGCCTAGTGGCTATAAATAGAAGAAATGAAGAAGAAGCAAGGGTCCCAAAAACCAATCATTTGACACACTATGCCAAAATTTATCTTTTCCCTGCAAATTAGCTTTTAGTTTTCGGAGCTCTCACTGAACCTCCATAGAAGTAGAGTAACGTAGTTTGTTCCCAAAAAACCATCAAAACATCAAACACCCTCGTTCGAACATTGTTTGGAGAGGAGTAAACCATGTAATTATCGTTGTCCAAGAAGTCAAAGGTGCATTCATTGTGTTCAAACACCAGTTTTTCCTCGCCGGAAAACAGAAACAAAAATGTTGCAACTGGTTAATTAATGATTTTATTTGTCTCTGTTGAGAAGCAAGCCAAACAGAAAGCCCCAAACTTGAGAGCGGTTCGTTGCCAAAACTAACGCCACTGCTGGAACTCGTCAGAACTACTGCACATATATATTAGTTAATACATTATATACATCCAGGTTAATAGGTTATAAATTTTGGGTACTTCCGTCATACATTGTGAGTCCAATTAAAATATAATGTTCATATAAAACAAGAGATCTACTGATAGTTGTTTGTAAAAAATACTTGTTTGTTAAAAGTATATATTGACATGTAAAATTGGTTTTCATTTTTCTTTGACACCTTTTATGTATAAGACAGTAATTTTGTCAAATTACATTTTCAGGCGGAATTTTACAGCACGAATGCAGTAACCGTTTTTCTTCTTCTTTGGTTTGTAAATATATCTTACAAAATAGAATGTAATTCAGATAACATGAGATTTGAACTAATAACATCCAAACTCACAAACACATCGAATCAAAAACATGCACCCATATCATATATACAAAATAAACTCATCTTAGAGTTGCTGGGATGTATTTTAATTTTGTGCTAGCCTGTTCATTACTATGAGCTAATCAAAATGCTTAACCCTAAAGTACTTTAATTTGAGTATGTTTGTTGGGTGTATTTGTTACTTTGTGATACCATTTTTTTTATAGTAATTGCATGCTCTTACGTGAAATGCATTTGTATAAACACTGTTTGGTACTCCAGTGCATTAGCATGTGCAGGAAATTATTTGGGGGAAAAACAGTGAAACATATATTACATAAACGAAATTTTCAAAAATCATTTAGCTACTAGTACTTGATATTGAAAATATAATTCCAATTGAAATTAACCACATTAATGTGTAATTGATCATATCAGTCATCAGAGACATTTCAGCCAGTTTTATAACATGTATCGATTGAACCCGATTCTACCCGCTGGCATTGCCGCGACAAAACAACCATGCATATGACCTAATGAGTAAGATCAATGTTGTTGTTATTATTATTATTATTATTATTATTATTATTATTATTATTATAATAAGGTCACATGCATGGAATTCCTCAACGCCATAATTGATTGGGCGCTGATATATATATATATATATATATATGGTGGCTACTTCGGCGCACTCACTTTTTTGGGTGCACTCAGTGCACCCACTCTAAAAGTGTCCATATTACATCAAATTTTGAACTTTAATTAGTACTCTCAATCTAATATGATGATATGACATAGAATCATAACAAATCAATCTATTACCCTAACCCCTTAACCTTCAATTTTGAATCCCAATCCAAAACCCCAAATTTTAAACCTAATCCCTAACCCTAAATCCCTAAATCCTAAATCCTTCAAATTAAAGTAAATTTTGAATGATTTTTTTTTCAAATTCATGTGCTTCTTGTTCATAATATCATAAGCAACAATTGATACCGTTTTGACATGAATCATATGTTCAGAATGACAATTATGAGGCGGGTGCACTGAGTGCACCCAAAAAAGTGGGTGCACCGAATACGCCACCATATATATATATGTACGTAGGTAGGGTAGTTTATGGCATGCGCTCCAATCTGGTTTTCTTGAAAATGGAAAGAAATGGGAGAATCTCTGCCTTTGCCTGTCAGAACTGTGTTTCCTCTCTCCCATCTCTCGATTTGAGATTTGGGATTGGCAACATTCACCCCCACTAGATAGATACATAGATGGGTTTGAAGGTATTACCCAATCAATGGGCCGACCGTATCATTCAGAATTCATACAATCAATTACCAAATCAATAGAAGAAGGCATACACGCAATTCTATATGTAACTTGGAGGAATTTGGGTAGGGGCAGATTGACGATCAAGGATTAGTGTACTCTGCCGATTATTACAAATTACAAAAATAATGTAGCCATCATTCATTTCATGATTGAGATGCCTACACACACATATATATATGGGGAGTTCTACAGTACCTCGGGTGAAATCCGGGGTACCGCATACCTTAAGTAAGAAAGCGCTATCTAGAACTTGAATTGACTGATCTTTCAGACATTATACTATACTCTAACCCATAAAGATCAAAATCTAGGTCTTAATTCTCTAAATCTTATACTCCAAGATCAATTTAATTAGAAACAATAATCGACGGTTATGATTCGTCCAAATATAGGCAAAAAAAGTAATGCAGCATCTTAAGGTTTATAGGTAATGATTAAGATAATTAGGACCCAGGGTTCACTCATTATGGGTTAGGGTATAGTATCATGCCCAAAAATCCTGCTAATTCGAGGTCTAGATAGCGTTTTCATACTCAAGGTATGCGGTACCCCGGATTTCACCCGGGGTACCGTAGAAGGCACCATATATATATATATATGAAGAATAAATAATAAAAAAACAAAATACAGAGAATTTTATATGGTATCCTCATTCAGAGTGAACAAGATTGATCCACGATAAGCTCAAAAGAGGATTGCATATGTTAGGGTACAACCCAAATAAGACATCATAAATATACAAGGAAAGACACCCTTGTATATTAGTTCCACTTATCTCAATTAGTACGAAGCATTTTGGGACAGATACACAAAGATAAATCATTATAGGCTTAGTCTAAATTGGACAATATCGTACTAATTGAGTTATCCATTTTCAGCAAATGGTATCGGAGCTTGGTTCATTTTGGATCCGGGGTGGTAGACGTCAATTTAGTGGCCCTCATTTGGTGACATCAGGATTTGAGATCTTCATTATTTTGGCAAATCAAGGGAGATTCACATTTGTCTGGCAGATCAAAGGAGATCCGTGTTTGATAAATCCTTGTGTCGCCTATCGAAACAACATCTATGACGGATCAAGATAATCGTTGAGGAGGAGATACTGAGGTCGTGGTCTTTGTCTTGAGGGGAGGATCGTTTAGAGTACAATCCAAGTACCACATTAGAAATACAATGGAAAATATCCTTGTATATTAGTGTCCACCTAGCCCAATTAGTACGATACCTTTTGGGGAGGATACCCAAATGTAATCCCGTGCGATCTTGACCGAAAACAGACAATAACGTACTTATTGAGCTATCATGTTTCAACAACATTATTGAGAGGATTACTTGTTCTAGGGTAATACACACAACACACTTTGACAAGGACGCTAATTAGACCAACTACAATAGGAGTGCTAAAGTGCTACACTTAGTTTGATACTTTGGCTCTCAAAAGTGGGTTTTGATCCAATAAAGAGTGATAGAATGACAAAGTGACAAATTTTCTTTTTAAGACTAATATAGTTTAGGATATATTTAATAACTCTAATTCGTACATTAAGAAAAAAATTTGTTAAATATTATGTCATCAATGATGAAAGCACAATAATTGGTCGAGATAACCCATAGATTCATCACATTGTCAGGTTGAGTTAGGACATCAAGTGTTCATTCAGGTTTAATCAGATTAAGTTGTGTCATCAACTTTCATTCAGCTTTAATAAGAATGAGTGATGTCATCAATTGTACATTCAACTTTGGCCATTATTGTAGAATGAATCATTTCATATGTCTACAAAATAATGCTAAAATTTGTTCATTGTACTCATCCAATGTTCAAATGTCTTTCTTGAAAAAGCCATCCATCCTTCATCCTTCATTCTTCTCTCATGCTAAAATTTGTTCATTGTCATCTCGATTCTCGATATAGTTCATCATCACGAAAACCAGTGAGGCGTAATAAGAAAGATGGGCACAAGCACTTGATGAAAGATTATTTCAACCAAAACCCAACCTATCATGCTAAGGCCTTCACAAGATGATATCAGATTTCCCATTCTTATTCAACCAGGTCGTGAATGATGTTGTTCACTACGATGACTACTTCAATCAAGGGAAAGATGTTTCAGGTCGTGACTCATTCTCCTCACACCATAAGCTTACTAATTCTTTTCGTATGCTTTCGTATGGATGCTCGGTAGAATACTACTTTCATATCTCGAATACTGAATACTACTAAAAATCAATCTCACTCATAAATCGAAAAAATTAACTCAGTAATACCAAATAATGATAAATTCCACTTGGTATTTGGTGCATCCCATATAATGATGCCAAACTTCCACCCCTAGATACGAACAATAATTTGGACATTGTAATCCTTGGGGTTTGGTCACCGACTTTCCAAGTAATGTTTAATTACTAAGGATATTAAATCACTACTCATTAGTTAGGGGTAAAAACGAATATCCACAGGGACATGACTACATGGAATAACTATGTATTATCATTCCTTAAGGAGATTTACTATGCCTAGTAGCTTTCGTTCACTCCTAACCAACGACTGCCAAATAACATTCACACTAATGAATTAAAGTAGCAAATTAACTTGTTCATGAAACACGTGACCTCACGAGAGAACTTCATGTTCTACTTCATTAGTAGACTTTGTTCTGGCCAAATCGATTACGGTATGTTCGTTGTTCAAGTTTAAAGGTCATTTCATATAGAAGCTTACACATACACAATGACTTAGCACCTAATTGTATGTTAAGTGTCATTAGCTTCGGTTCAATAGGGGTTGGATGAAGAACATTGTTTGATTTCATTATTATTGATTTCGTAATATGTGTTTATAAGTTGGAAAAAATATTCATTAGAAAATTATATTCTTATTCCAAAAGTTAATGATTATTGAAAAGTTTATTTAGTTTCCTAATAACATCCACCTTCATTTAAAATAAAACTAATATTCATATATATTTTTCTTTAGGTAAGAGTGATATAGGTTGATATTTTATAATTAGTTGCTACTTGCTACAGGAGGGGTTCGAACCTAAAACCTTTAGATTCAAAACTAGTGGTAATGCCACTAAATCAAAATTCTTGTTTGCAATATTCATTTCTAATTAACGTTTGCATTTTTAAGTAAACAATTGCGAAGCGCAGACCAATTACGCCATATAAGCAAAGTGTTGATATGATTTGAATCGGACTATCAGCCGCTACGACTAGTAATCGGGGGTCTCTGGGCCTGGTCTGTAACCGTTTCCTTTGTCAGATTGGATTAGGTTTAGACCCACATGGAGAAGTACTATAAATACTTCTCATACTCCTCTGTAATCTGTAATCTCCTCGATATAGTGAAACTGGCTCTCTCTCTCTCCAACGTACATTTATTATCCTTTTGTTGAGCACAAAGCAAGGGTGTGCATTGCCACCCCCTCCCCTTGTGCTAGCTCTGCCCCTGTATATAGTAGCCTTTTGGCAACCAATTTAAATTTGGTTGTAAAGTTTTTGGTTGCAAAAACTAGTTTTTGTTGTAGTGTTACACGCTCTCAAATGAAAGCAAACTCATGGGCTTGAAATTTGCACATACCTGCCATACCATGTGCTTGAAAGACAATGATTAATATTGTGAGGTCGTCGTGAGGACTTGAACACGTGACCTCAAGTCTAAACCAGCTATGATACCATGAAATATTTGTAAAATTCAAAGAAGAAAAAACACAGTACTATTTACATGGTTCGTCTCATTCAGATCTGAATGAGCTTACTCCACGGAGAAATTTTGCTATCTCGGCTTCTTATTGCGGGTTTGCAGCCGATTACAAGCATACATATATACGAGGAGCACTTCTACTATGCTATATAGTATTGGTGCTTTAATGTACAACTTAAAGTTGTACCATAACATTAAACGTATAAGTTTAGGTTGTACCATAAAACAATTTGTATCATTATGTTATGGTACAACTTTACAACTTGAAGTTGTACCATCACATAATGGTACAAGTTCAAGTTGTACCATAAAAGAATTTGTGCAAAAAGTATAGGTACAATCTAAAGTTGTACCATAACGTAAATGTACAATTTTAAGTTGTACCATAAAAACAAAAACCTATAGCACCAATACTATATAGCATTGTAAAATTTCTCATATACGAGAGTTTCCTATAGTACCCTTCTACCACGTCAACTAGGGTTATGGAAAGGCATTGAGCTTGGAATGAGATTCGACCCATGCAGCCGTGAACGACTACGTACCACAATTGCATGTATTAATTTATATCTTTCAAACCCCGGTTCAGCCCCTGCTATCACATCAACTGCTTCCTAAAATCAGCCGGTAACCTCAACGTGAACCGGTCGGTGGTCCCACCCGGCTGCACCAAAGAGTGACCCGCCGAGTGCGATCTTGGCCCACGGATCCGGTTCAAAACCCAATCGACCCAGAAAACCTCCAGAGCAACTTCTGTAGGTGGTCGTTGTATTTCACTCCCACTATCCGGGAATAATTCAACAAATTTGAATTTCCCACTCACAGTCACAGATAAAAAAACAAGGAAGAAGGAAGTGGAGTGAAGTTGTTTCTGGCACAGCTTGAAGAATCAGCTGGAACGACATCGTATAATTCGAATGTCAGTGTACTACAACAAAGTTGTCATATTTCACTTTTAATTCCAATGTTACATTTTTATCCTTTTTCCTGCTTTGGTCTGTACTTGCTTCAGAAGCAAGGTTGTCTTGTAATGAAACCAAAGGGTTTTCACTTTCCCATAACACAAATTGTTGTTACCCGCAATCCCTAGTGGCCGGCTTCGGGAGAGTGCCGCCGTCCACTCGCCCCGCCTTGAGATACGACAAGGCGGGAGGCGGCGGACCCAGGATTCTCGTACAGGTGTGTCGGTCGATAAACTTAAATAAAATACTAAATAAATTAAATAAAAATTAGATAAATTTCAATTATAATTTATAATGAAACACAAAGAGAAGTGGGATCGAAAGAGGTAAAGGGAATACTAGACAATAATAAAGAGCGGTAGTCCATATGCAACCGGACTCCCGAGAAAACTTCCTTACGATTACCTCTGACTAAGACCTAAAAGTAATAAACCATTGCGTCCAAATACTTAAGCAATGGAAAGAACCCCAAATTTGTCATAAGTTAACTAAAATTTAAAATAAATCATATATATTTACGTATTTTCGGAACTTTATGACACCAATTTCATCGTAGTATATTGAAAGTGTGTCGAAATTTCTAAATTCACAAAAATTATACCTACGAAACATGAATCTTTTACAAAATATTCGGGCGGAGGTGTGTCGCTTGACAAACCTTCCTAAGTCTTAAGTCTTAACACATGGGTCCGGCCCAGGCGGGAGCAATGACCGCGGTCGAGCGGTCGCCTGCGGATTTCAAATTGGCGCGGCAGACCGGGCAGGTGGTGTGGGATTCGAGCCAGGAGTCGATGCACTCCGGGTGGAAGGCGTGGTCGCACTTGGGAATGAAACGCAGCGTTTCGTCGTCGTCGAATTCGCTCAGGCAGATGGCGCACTCCAGCGCAGCCTTCCCGATCTTCAACCCCTTGACCGCGGAGTAGACCATCGTGGGGAACGTCTCGATAACCGCTGGATCGAGCCCGCCGGAGGCGGATGCGGAGGCTGCGGCCGCCGCCGCCGTCACGGATTGGAAGTCCGTGCAGTTGCGGATGTAGATGGAGAAGAAGCCCAGGAGGAAGAGCGAGGCAAGGACGACGATGATGACCCCGGTGTCGTCGGGGAGTTCTCCGGCCGCCGGCTGCGCCGCCGTGGGGTGGAGGAGGAGGAGGAAGAAGATGGAGGGTGCGGCGGCGGCAACCATTTTCTGGGCCGGGTTTTCTCTCTTGTGGGAAAATCCGGAAGCTTTATAAGTTCGAAAGTGGGAAATGGAAAGAAAACATCAGTCTTCTTTGTCATTTGATACCTTATTGCTAGAATCTAGTCAAGGCGTGAAAAACAATCCCTTTTTAAAGACAATGAATTTATCGATTATGAAAGAAACCCTCTAATCCCAATATCCCATCACGAACATCGACGACTTCAAGGTCGGGACTCCTGTTTTAAGGACAACTAATAATGAAAGAAGAAGAACACCAGCCAGAATAAGGGTCAAGATTGTCGTCGTGATATTATCGTACGGACGGAGTGGTGCACGGATGCTTGTTTATATAGAGAAAGTATTTTCCATTGTTATATATATATTTATATGGTGACTTCTACGGTGCCCAGGGCAAAATCCGGGTACGGGTACCTTGGCCGATCTTAACCATTCGTTTTCAATCTCCACGGCTCACGTTTGTTAAACCTAACTGCGCCACTAAATAACTAAACAAATTACAAAAAGCCTCCTCCGCGTTAAGTTTGTTTTCATCCTAGTCCAACTAACTGCCCCGATTAAATTAAATGGATTAAGACTGCAAACCCAATTGGGTAGACCCACTGCCGCCCAAACCAATTTCCAGTCTCCCTAACCAATTACACGATCCCTCTCTCGTCTTGGAGGGACGCCCCTTCACAGTTCCAAGAGAAGCTCCCCATCCAATTTGAACTCCCTTTTTTTAATCATCTTTTTGAATCCCAATTACTTGCATCCACATTCGACGTAGATTGAATTTCCCAAAAAAAATTTGTCTTGTTTCTTCTTCGCCATTGTATTTCCCCTCGCCTATCTCTTTCTAACACGATTACGGCGACCATGTCTATTATTGTGTTCATCGAACTTTTCATTTGCAAAAGAACCCTTGAAAGAGGTTTGCTAACCCTAGGGTTCATGTCACTAGTGCTTTGTCATCTTGTCTTAGCGTTATTGTGATTTTCTCGAACCTTGTATCTCTCGGTGAAATTTAGGTTTCCTGATATGTAGTGTTCGTCTCGCCCAGAGGATTGAGGAAGAAGATGAAGAACACATAATTTGATTCGAATCGGATGGAGAGGTCTCCTTAGTTTGTGTTTATGTATTAACGGTGCGTTTAGGACTAATTCTAGTTGGACTGGGTCTGATCATTGATTTTTGCAGGCTTTTAAATAACATTCAAACGTGGGCTTGTACATGACCCATGCAATATTCAAAAGTGGGCCTGGAACGTGCGAGCCCATTAGTTTTCTCCTCCGGTATCAACGCCAATCCTAGTTTAACTAGCTTTACTTACCCTAGTTTAACCTACACGAGTTAACATCATCATTACTATATATCTTCCCAAATCTTCTAACTCTTGACATTCCAGACTCAACCGTCTCCATCACACGTCTCCACACTCAACCCCCACGATCACTTTTTCTTACACCTACAATCTCTCTTTCCTCCATCTTCACCTTCCCTTATTCCTTCTTCCTCCGACTCCATGGCAAACAAAGGCAAATCGTTTGCGGATATGGGCATACTAACTCTATCAAACGACGACTGCCGATCCACCTCAAGTCTCGCGGACTATCTTTCATTCACGAGCAAGACATCTATTGTGGCCGAGTACGAGTTCATCCACCTGTCCCCTTTCCCTCAAGAAGTGAAGCAGTTAATTAAAATTCTTGGCTGGGAAAAGTTCTTTGATATCCGGAGTCGAGGAAGCACCAGTTACTGCCCGCGATTTAGAGCTGTCTGGTCCCTCCGATTCTCATCTCGTGTCGGTCTTCCTGGGTTATAGAGCCTGCTTCCAGCCTCATCAGTTTGCTGAGATCCTCGATCTCCCCGCCGCAGGACACCACATTGATAGCAGAAGCGATCTTCGGCGGCTCTACGATTTTGAGTTCGAAGTTGAACTGGCGAAACTAACGAATGGGCGCATCCAGGCTTCTTTCCTCCCAGATCCTCTTCGATTCCTCCATTGGATGATCGTCAACTGCTTCATGCCAAGGTACAGTGGTCATTCGACAATTCGTAAACTTGACCTGTTTATCCTTGTGCAAGCTCAAAGAGGTGTTCCTCTTAACCTCGCATCTCTCATGTGCCTGAACATGGTTGAGGCTGCTCCTAGAGGGGAAAACTGGTACACTGCCTTTCCATATGCCACCTTCTTGACCACCTTTCTTGGAAGGGTTGGGATGGATATGGGGGTTTATGCTAGGGAGGACCATTCCGCCTATTTGCCAGTCTACCGTATCGTCGAAGTGACCAATACTTTTTATGACCTTCGGCATACGGAGCATGAAGAGACCCCTGAGGCATCCTCAAGCAAACGTCCTCGGCTTACATGAGAGTCGATTGATGCAGGGCGGGGTGGAGCAGTGAAGGGGCCAGCATTGGATGTTTTTTGTTAAGAAGTTTACTGTAAGGCTTCATTGTTTTTTTTTTCAGTCTTTTTCTCCAGCACACAAAACTGTCAGGTACTGAGGGGAGCCAGTACATCATCTGACTAGGAAAGTCTCCCATTTTTTTTAATTATCCAGACAAATATTTTTCTATGCATGCAGTATTTTGTGAATTTGCCATGGCTAATTTCCCTAAGACAGGTGACGGGATGCAGTAATGGTCATCCCTAAGCAAGGAGGTGCAATTGCATCCAACACTTGCTATGATGTGAGAAGCTATTGCAAGGGTGCAAATTTGGTTGCAATTGAAATTGGCCCACGAGTGGGGACTATTGATGAAATTGCAATGTTTTCTCAAAATTATAGAAGTGGAAGTAGGGACTACCTATGAAATTGCAAATGAATTTCATTGGGGGAGATTTTAATCCGCTTTTGTTCTAAGCAGTTCCAATTAGGTTGATTATAATGATTTTTTATCTATGGTGATTTTTTCGCCTTTTTCATCAAGACTCATGCTTCTTTTATCCCCCTGTGGATCTATCATGCTTCGTTTATAGTAAAATATCCTTTTAATTATACACAATAAAGAATCCATTAATTATGTATGCCTTTTTATTGTATTTATTACTACAATGAATTCTCTGACTAAAAGGGGAGTGAAAACATCGTTGGTGGAAATTCAAGGAATGGAATGATAAGGGCTGTGCATAAATTCAATTTCTGTAAATAATTAATATTATTATTATTAGTTAGTAACGTCATTAGTTTTAGTTAGTGGGTTAGTGGCTCCTACTTTGTAGCTTCAATCTGTTCAAGAGTTGGTACTTAAGCCACTCTCCTGATCAATGTAAATCACTACTTTCAATCCTTTACATGGAAGCCTTTCCATATCCTAGGAACATTAAATTAATTACATAAGAATTTTCTATCTGCCTTGTACTGGGTTTGGTCATTATTTATACTGATTGGGAGCCAATCAGTTTTACCTTTTGGGTTACCTATACATGAATGCAAATTTAATTATACGATTGGGAGCCAATAAGTTTAACTATACATGATATGATCCCAATTAAACCTCTCTACAAGATACAATGGCTTGAAGCCTTGAACAGAAGCAACCTCACTCACAAGTTGGAAGCTGGAATTTTGGTGAAGTCCCTTTGCCATTTCCACGAAAAAACAAACCAAACCAAATATAGAAAGCATTCACAATACCAAAAACCAAATATAGCAAGCATTCACAATACCAAAAACCAAATATAAAAGCATTCACCAAACCAAAAACCAAACCAAAAACCAAATATAAAAACCATTCACCAAACCAAACCAAACCAAAAACCAAATATAAAAAGCATTCACCAAACCAAAAACCAAATATAAAAACCAAAAATAATAAGCATTCACTGAACCAAATAAAAAACGGTTGTCCATCATCCTGAGAAAAAAAAAACATAACTATTGTCCATCATCTTGAAAACTAAAACGCAAAATCAGGTTGTTCTTGGGCTCGTTGACTGGGTTTCCTTGTGCTCTTCTCTTTCCTTTTTCCTCTTTTCATGGGTTTTCTTGTACTCTTCCACTGCAGCTTCAACTTGAGGTGCAACTCTTCTTGCTTCCGTGAGCACCATATGCCTTATGTAGTTCATGGGCTCTCGAACAAGGTACAAAGCGATCTGCATCCTCCTCACTTGAGTGCATGGCTATCAACATCAACAAACATGGTGCTTACCGCATGATTCAAAAATAACAATCAATTTTGGTTTTCTAATATGCGAATTAGAATTGTCTTTACCCAAATATAAGAGGAGTCCCAGCTTGCGCCATACATCCACATGCATACCCAGACTCCACTGTCAGACCTACATAAAATAAAAGCATTGCGTGATAAGAACCAAGTTGATAAGTCGTCGTATAATATCACAAAAAAATGGGCATACTTACCGATGAAGTTGTTCTTGATCCTTTGAAGGAGTTGGGTACGAAAACTCCGCAATCCTTGGTGGCGACAATCCCGGACCTTGTTCACGATAGAGAATCTTCCACAAGGCTTGCATAAAGCTCATATGTACAAATTAAGAAACGTTTGTACTTAGAAAGAGTTATTTACATTTTTTTGCGTTATAACGGCACAATGTCACAAATTTACCATTGTTTGAACAGATTGTAGTCGAAAGGAATTGCGGTCTTCATTTGGTTGTGGATCCAAGATATGGACTTCTTCCTTGTCCAACTTGATGACAGCCAAGTACCAATGGGCATTATCTCTCATCGGAACACACACCTACATATGCGGAAATTGTCAACACGTATTAAAAAAATCAACTGCAAACCATGTAATACTTATTAAGACGAACAGTTTACCTTGTTCACCATATTGGTTCGACTAAGGAATTTTGATTCGTATAGGTCTAATGCCATCTTGGGTGTTATTCCACATGAAATCACTAGTTCCTGCCCATGTGGTAGTTGCACAATTGAAATTTTGTCAACACAATATGATTCACGTTAAAAAAACATGTGTTGTAATTTTTTTGGTGAGAGGAAATTGTCATTGAGTATAATCGGACCACAACCTGT